GATTTGTTTGTTGTTGAGTGCAATGTTAAAATAAGTTCTTTAAAAAGCAAAAAATGATTTAATATGAAGGCATTATGAGGAGAGAGTACAAACATGTTGAGGGATTGGCTGTGTTAGTTCAGTGAGAGAGTTATTTGTGAAAAAAAAAAAAAAAACAATTTTCACCAGCAGTCAAAAACTAACGTGTACACTTGTCTGCTTTTTTATTTTGTTAAATACGAACAAAATTATAACAGAAGTGCTGCCATGTGTCTGGCCAGAAAGAGAGTAGCAATTTCCTTCTTTGGTAGTTTAATGAAAGGCTTCGGTTAGTTAAGCATGAGGGAAAAAAACTGCATTAACATTGGCAGTTTTGTCTTCTTATACAATATTTGAAATTTAAAACAAACAAACAAAACACTAATTTTTTGGAAATACTTGTGGGTGTTTTCTTGATTGGTTTGTTTTTGCACTACTTACACTAAAGTGGCCACTAAAGAGATGACAGTGTCAGCAGTGGCCTACAGCTCATTTAAGTTACAATATTAAGCAACTTTAGGCGACTATTGCTGTGATATTATATAAATAAAACTGAACTGAATTAAAGGCAGAGTGTTAGTTTGCCTTAAATAAATTATTGTTATCATTATTGTTTTGGCACTGCAAGCACACGATTATCTTTTAAGATATATATTTTTAAATCAGGTTTTTTAACCAGCAACGTAAACATTCAAGCTGCTTCAAACCCTGAAACCATCACAACACAAAGGTAAAAAGTGGGAGTGATAACAGTAATGTACAGTAGGCTCGTGCTCACCTGCAAGTCCGTGCCATCAGACAGGATGAAACCCGGGTCCATCAGAGAGACCGCGAAGTACAGCAGCACAGACAGCAGCACCAGCAGCACGAAGAGCACGGGCTGGACAAGCTGGCCCGTCTCCTCCTGCTTCCTCAGCTCTGTGAACAAATCACTCACACACTTAACACCACCACAGCTCCCAGGGGTGTGCGAGCGATCATAGAGGCAAAGCC